GGCGAGTAGGCGGTCGGCGCGGATTATGTAGCTCGGTGTCCGCAACAGCCTCCAGTTATCAGAAACCTGGCAGCTGCTTCTGCTAAGGAATAAGCTTAGCTATCACATATATTATAGAACAATAAATACAGTAGAAGTGGTTAGTTAGCGTCTGACGCGTGCCAACTATAGGTCTCAAAAGACAGTCCGCCATATTCACTTTGTATCATTCTATCGTGCAAATTCTCTAAAATCCTGGTCGCTTCTTTTTTGGAGAACTAAATTAATTTAACTAAACTAAATTTACCGCAAGATGGCAGCACATTGATTGAAATTTCAATATAATATCAAAACGTCGTAACTTGTAATAATAGGTATTGATGGTATTGAACATTCAACGATATTGTCAACAGGATTAACTAACAATACAGAATTTGTTATTTCTTTTTAAATTTGGAACTACGAACAATCAATATCAAGATTGTGTGTTTAAGAATTTGTGAGTTTTACCGACATCGGCTCTGATTGTAATCGAGGCTTAGCGCACTTCCATTGTTTTTTCTTCCGTGCAAAAGATAGACATTGGTAATCACTTTGACACGAAGCTTTTAACTAAGAGCAAATTAGAAATATATTAAGCATATTTACTATTGCTTATAGCGTTTCCTGAGTCCATTATTCAACAAAAGATAAAAATAGTTGAACTTTCTCATGTGGGGTAAAGCGGCAGATATTCAAACCATATTTGTATTGCAAAAACGAGCGATTCGTTCTGTGTACCGTCTAGGCTCTCGGGTATCTCTCAGAGAAAAGTTTAAGGAGACTGGTATCATGACTGTGGCATCACAGTACATTTACTCAAGTAATTTTATATGCCCGTAAAAATATACATAATTTCAATAAGAAAGAAGATATCCATAATATTAACCTTAGAGCTAAGTCCAAACCCATGGTACCACGATTTCGTTTAACCAAGGTAAACAACTCTTTTATGGGGAACTGTATACGTTTTTACAATAAGATTCCGGAGCATATATTAAGTTTATCATTTCCTAAGTTTAGAAACTACATTAAAAATATTTTGATCGAAAAATCATATTACAAAATTGAAGACTACGTGTTAGATAAAGATGTATGGAAAGACGACATGGCTCCAGAATCCACACAAATTTGATTCAAAGTGTATTCCATAGCATTTAAGTTTATTTGAAAAGAGCAATCCCTAGAGTTTCTTGCTCGTTCTTCTCAGGGAGGTCAGCGTAGTGAACGAGCAGTAGCTTAAATGTGACGTTTTCAAGTGTAAATTTATTTTACCTATGGAATAAATAATCTTTGACTTTGACTTTGACTTTGAACTAGCACACTATGTAAATCCACTGATTTTAGAAACTCGGAATATTCTTAAAACGATGAAACAAATTGATGACAAATATTCCTGCACTTGTAAACAAAACCATTTAAAACAAATTGTTCAAGGTTTTTAGAATGTTATAGAAACTTGAGACGTCGAAGGGTCAACCTTCTATATATCGAAAACGTCGTTCATAATATCGTTCCTATCCTTAACTGACAGCCATTTCTTTAACTTCATAAACAGGAGGAGGTTCTCAATTCGATTGTATGTTTTTTTATGTTTGTTACGCGATTACTATAATACTATAATATCAAGTATTTAGTAGAGTTCTGGAATACGATCCTCAGTATGTTACGCGATAACTTTACGGCATTTGTGAACCGATTTTGATGATTCTTTTTTTGTTGCAAAGAGGGTACCTCAGCAGCAGTCCCATTTAAATTTGAAGATAATATTCCACCTCTAAGGGTGGCAAACTAGGGGATGAACGACTTTTGAGGTCGGTTTTTTTAGTACTATGTACTGAGATTATGTAGTAGTTGAACGTAATCTTTGCTTTCAAAAGCGAAATTTCTTAAATTTTATTTACACATATTTGTACATTTTTTTATTTACGAACAAGTCGTGCGCCTGGTATTAAGCGAAACGCATGTCCATAGCAATTGCAGTGCCACTCAGAGCTTTAAATCGCAAAGATCTTAGGGGCACTGCCACTGCGCCCGTCACTCTGAGATATAAGCTGACTAGTCCCATATGCTTGTAATTTCACCAGCACCCTTACACTTCAAAACCGGAACTCAGTAATGCTGACATTACTGCTTGGCGGCAGAAATAGGAAAGGTGGCAAGTACTTCCCTTGACGAATTCTTTCACAAGGCGCTCTATTGGTACTAATCTTCAATTCCCTTATTAATTTTTTTTCCGAAATTGAGTTCTTACAGCCTGGTACTCATTAGCGTCCTGTTATCGTGACCATTGCATGTTATGTTGCCAAAAATCATAGCGGGCATGTGATTCGCGAGGTTGCCGCGATTCGCAGCGAGCCGACGATAACCAGGTACTCATTCTAGCGAGCAAAGCCTGTTTCACGTGTCTACACAAGAACCTCGTTACTGTATGTCACGTTACAGTTACAGCTCGGTAATGAATACCTGGCTTAACATAATATCTGTAGGGCTAGTACGGCAACGCGCGACTTGCTCGAGAGCGACAAAAAGCGCGTATTCGCTATCAAAATATCGATCTGTACTCA